CTTATGTCGCTCGCTTCTTGTAGCCGCAGTTACAACGACAGCTGATCAGACAGGGGACGCTGTAAAGTAGCAATACATTTACAAATGTGAGACTCTATCGGCAATGAAGTCTCACTCATGTGCCCCCAGATGATTTCCTTCTTCCTCCACCATGTGAACTGTGAAGGACTATGTGTGGTAGGTAGCGCCTGACCTGGTCCACAGCTGGGTGTTAAGAAACGACACCAGTGGTGCCATTCCAGCCAGTCTCGCCAATGCCGAACGGACGTCGGCATTCAATACAGTGAGCAGCATAAAATTATATCAGAAAATTCACTACAGCCCACAGATGGAAACCCTCCATGAAACTTCCCAAAATTAACACTTTGCCAATTTTAATAAATTTCAGCTCATCGTCTTTCCCCACTTACCTCATTGGAATCTAAAGATTTTTTTAAAATTGTCTATTAAATTTCCTCAAATTGCTGCAGTGAAAACAGTCTCACTAACTCATGCTTTTCCTTTCAAACAGGGGTCAACGCATACACTGTTGAAGTGATGAGCATTTGGAGCTGGTGTAGCTGGCCACCATTTTGAAATATGGACAAAAGAACACTGCACTGGTAATTCACATTAAATCATCACAGTACTTTTTTTTTAACTGAATGAATTATTTCTACAAGGATACCTTTAGTCTTTCCACACCACAGTTCAGTTGCTGGGCTTATCAAAATTCATGAGTATTTCATCTGTGTTGTCAATGTGACTTAATGGTTTCTCCTGTTACCATCGTTTGATGCTAAATCTCTGGAACGCAGACTAGCTGCTGCTCTGTAATGTTTGCTGGGCACAGAGGTTAATTTGACTCACTGAAGTGAATGTATCTGCATTGCTTTGAGGCCCATCCTGACTACTTGGCTTTAGCTGCAACCACACAGAATGCATTTCCACTTGGGTGGGCAATCCAAAATTCAGAGCCATTAATGTAAGACAGACCCGGAAAAAAATTCAACTTAAACTTCTTTACTGAAGGAGTGGTTCTAATATAGAGCATGCCACTACATGGAGTTGCTGAGGCAAAACACATAGATATGTTTAAGGGGAACGCAATGGTGAAACAAAAAGGAGCATATGCAGACAGCGTTATATGAAGTCCAAAGAAATGCAGCTTAAGTGGACTGACCATGCTCAGTTGTCCACAGTGTCCAGGGATATCTAAGTTAGGTGGGTTAGCCATGGGAAATGCAGGGTTACAGGGATAGGGTAGGGGCACGTGTCTAGGTGGGATGCTTTTCAGAGGGTCAGTGTGGGCTCGATGGGCTGAATGGCCTGCTTCCACACTGTAGGGATTCTATGAAGCATTGAGACAGACACACAGCAATTAGGTTGAATAACCTGTTCATCCCTCAGCCACAGGACCCCAGTATCCTAGCAACCAACACCGACTGTTTCCATTCAAACCTTTTACCTTGCTCTTCCCATGTTGAAGGTTTCCTACAATCCTCCTCCCCTTGTCAATTTAAAGAGCCTGCCTGCTGCCCTGAATTAGATGCCCACTCTCTGGCCTCTAATTGGCCAGTTCAAGGGAAATGACTGCTGGGTGACTGCTCCCCACACTGCACGGTTCAGACACTCCATCTGACCTCAAAGTCAAAGTGCCAACCCAACAGCTCAAATTCCTAGCCAGGATATCATTAAGTCTGGACATCAAAGTATTTTGTATTAACTGATCAAATGGGAATGATCTAAATAAGGTCAACCTTATTTGCAATGCCTGCAGCAAAGGAGGCAAATATGTTACAGCTAAGATACCGGTAAAGAAGATATGAGGAAAATGAAAATGTCACGACAAAGAAATTAATGAAAAAAAATTAGCAAACTGCAGTATCATTCTGCCAGGAACTCCTTAGTTACTGTAAGCACAGGTGAATATGGTGGGTGGGGATCCAGATGCTCTCCATGTTCTTCCATGAAAAGGTCCATGATGGGAAAGCCCATGAACAGCCATTGCATACTGACACCGAGTGATCCATATGTGGGCAATTAATGGTCAGTGAACAGCCTTATCCCACCCCAGCCGTGGGAAGGGGTGTGAATCAGACGAGAAGCACAAGGTTCGTTTGTGCATTTTGAGGTGTGCGGCTATCACACAAAGGCACAGAATGATAAGGGCTGGGGTTAGGCTTGAGGGACCCTGCATCAAATGGAAGAAAAAGGCTTGCTGAGAGCCTTGCCCTTGATGTCATCCTCGTCCCATACTGCCACCAACCCTTCTCACCATCCCAGTTTCCTCCTTCCGCTATGATTCAACTGTGGCATTTAATAATGTAAACCTTCCTAAAAAGGTCTCTTTTGTAAGGTCCCCATGGCCAACACGTAATTCCAGCCCATGTTCTATTTCTTCCACTCTAATCTGGTACATGGGGGGCAGAGCCACCGAGATCACTTGCGCTCATAGATCATAGCGGTTTGGTTCCATGCTGGTTCTTCCAATCTGCTGTTGCATTGGTGGCACAAGGCACAACAGGAGATTGAGAAAACCTGCATGGAGCGTTCTTCACCTCATTCCATCCTGTGGCTAGAATGTGATCTTTCTGTCTTTCCATGCACCTTAGGAAACGGAACTTCAAATTGCATCGACAGTAAAATGCTACTGTCAATTATTCTTCAAGAATGGATTCAATTTCAAATATGTAATGATGTATATTTTCCATACTTGTATGTCAAATGGCTTAATTTAGCATTTGTTGCAAATGCCAAAAGCAGGAATCAAAACTATACATAAGTAGCATGCAAAAGAGTCAAAGGGCTACAGCACAGGAAAAGGCTCTTTGGCCCATCAAGTCTGAGCTGGTTGAAAATGAGCACCTATCTATTCTGATCCCATTTTGCAGCACTTGGCCCGTAGCCTTGCTTGCCTTTGCAATATGCAAATCTATGCAAAGCTCTAAGACAGTAGCTGGTTACAATGTAGTGAATAAAATAAGACTGTCTCCTGCTATGTCTGGCTCTGTGTTACGTGTGCAAGAGGTTCAAAACCCACTTAAGGATCTCCAGCTCCTTACCAAATAAGGCAAATATTCCAGGTATAGATACAGACACAGACACATTCATGATAATCATATGTGCATCTGCACTTTGAACTCATTTTGACACACAGTTTAATTGGTCTTTGTCGATTCGTAAATAGAGATAGTGCCATGTTTAAAATCAATGATATGTTATTGGTTTATCATTCTTTTGAAGTTTGATGTGTTCGTTGGCATTATTCAAAAGCAAAACAACAGCAATTGAACTATATCAAGACAGGATGTCAAATTGTGTGGATACTGAGACAGTGCTCACAGTGTAAAACATCCAAGATATGCAAATCAAAGTCTGAATATTATTCAAAAGGTGAAATATTGTTTATGGCAAACGTCAAGGCCTGTTTATTCATGCATAATGAAAGCCTGCAACCACAGAATTCAAATACATTGCTGTATTGGTCAGGAATTTTTCTATTTGCATTGGTGAACTGAACTGCTGTCCTTCTATTATTACTTAATCACTCTAAGGCCACAAATGTTTCTGGATGAGGGCAGCTGAATGAACAGAGTAGCACGGATGATTTGCATATCACTGTAAACATCAGTCATTAATTGAATTGAGTTTGACAACAAATACAAGTGTTAAAAATTGACTCCTAATCTTTTGGTTAGCAATTGCAGAATCCATTTGAAATTGGCATGAAACAACCTTAGAGGTGGTCATTAACAATTGCAGAGCTATTAGAAGATGCAGTTGTTCACCAAGCAGAGAAAGCAGAAAAGATTTAATAGGTGCTTAAACCATGAAAGATTTAGATGTAGTGAGTAAAGAGAAACTGTTTCAAATGAGTGAATAGCTGAAAAACAGATGGTAAATTCTAGGTGATGGGCATAAAAGAACAGAAGTGGCATTGGGAAAAGCTTTCCACTCGATGAGTAGTTAGGGAGCTGGGCATGATTCACTAGGAACCTATGAAAGGGAATTGGATATATATGAAAGTGAAAATGTTCCAGGCAGGTGGTGACAGAGCCAGAGATTGGAACCAACTAGATGCCTCTTCAAGCACAGACCTAATGGACTGAATGGTCTCTTCCATGTTATAGTATTGGCTGACTCTGTGATGCTATGATTCTAATAACAATATTCAATACCAACTAGAGGTCTCCACCTTATAAAACAGAGCCGCTAAAATAGACAGGCAAACATACACCTGCATAAGTGGAACCAATCTCACTAGACAGGAGAGATTAAATTAAGACAAGATTGAAGCTGGGGACAGGTGAGCAAGGGTGCGGCAGGAGGCCTGGATCATGGATGAATTAATGGGTTGTAGACTGTGGCTTGGGAGATCTCAGTTTAGCAAAGCTAAGGAGGGAGGATCACAAGCGAACACTTCTCCTGGTGTACATGCTGTGCTATATATGCACCAACCCAGATTGATCTAGCTCCTCTCATTTCCTTTTAGCTGCCATTTTTCCCTAATACCAGGGCAACCCAGCTACATTCGTAAAGAAAGAAAGAAATCTGTTAAAAATTGTCACACAGCCTTCTTCAAAGATCAATTGTAAACCATTCCACCTCCTGAATGTAGATAGGTTGCCCCCTGACCTTCCTTTGTTAGAATTAAAAGTGAGTGAGTTGGAATCTGGATTGAAATGTTAAAATTCTTAGCTTCTCCTCTGCACCCTGACAACCTGCTCTTGAGGTTTTAAAATTAACTCCCATATTTCTAACATATTTAATGAATGGGACTTTGCCATACAAATCACTGCAAAGAATCTCAGCAAGACAGACATCGAAACCCAGTGTGGAGAATGGAGCGTCAGTGACAGTGTTTGTGTTGTGCAGAATATTAATTCAGTCTTACAGGGTAGGCACTGACTTTGGGTGTTAGAATGCAGCAAATTGCAGACTGACTGACCAGTAATTCAGTACTTGAAATTCTTCCAAATAAGCTGTATACATAATCCAGACAGACCAAATTTCCTTACCTTTGACTTTATGAGAAGGTGAGGCAGCAGGTGATGAAATTGAGGGCCGAGGGGTTGGAACTGGACATAGCTTGCCTGGTTCTTCTGTTCCCTTTATGTCCATCTTTTGCGACATGTAATCTGCATAGTTGAAAACAAGTGACAGACATAGTGAACAGCTCAGATATTTACCTTTCACTGATGAGGTTTGAGTTCACATGTTTATTTTAATTTAAATAAGAAATCTCATTGGAAACAAGAATGTTGATAATCCTGTCAAAATATTTGAAGTGTCTGACCATCTTGGCACATACAAAAACTGGAATCTCTTCAGGTATCTCCTGCCCTGGTACCAATTCATGATCTTCCAACCTTCTGATTTGTTAGAAATCTATCCCTTTTCTTTCTGACTGCCTTAAACTGTATCCATATTAGCGATGCAGTGGTTTAGAAGTAATGTCACTAGTTTGGTAACACAGAGATCCAGACAAGAGGTCAACTCCCACCAGGGCAGCTAGTGGATTGTTTGTCATAACTTGTCGTGCTACAAGGATGCAACAAGGCATGGTAGAAGTTCAAACAATATATTTCTTTAAAAATTAATCTTCCGCAATGGTAAACCATTCTTCTTAAATTATTTCAACCAGAGAGATAACATAAACAGATTAAGAAAACGCTTAAAAATTATTGTCACAAATAAAGATTGAATGATGATAGGGGTTGGACACATGGTAAAATGACTTGAAATTTAGTAGCTGAAGAACGGAAAACAGAAATAAATTATGGAAAAGAAAACATACAAACGTGCCCTCAAATTCTTTTTTGTATTACAAGATTTTGTTAAAGATAGCAAGCCCTTGAAATATTTTGCATGGTTGTACAGTACAGTAACTCAAAGGAGTCAATTTGTGCACAGCCTGGTTAAAGCTTCTCATGTTGCTGCACAATAGGATGAAGGTACATGTTAAAGGGATTATTTCTGACCAGGCCAGCAGAATTCCCATTAATTTCTTAATATTGGTTTAAAAAAAATTAGAATTTCATCAATAACACTGCAATGATTAAAATCCTGATATTCAAGGAGCTTTCCTACATTGCACCTTTAATGTTGTAAGCTGCTACAAAAAATGCAACCAGTCAAAAACTGGACACCAAGCCATGGTGCAAGAATTCTGTTGCTTGCAGAACATTTACATCGAATGTAGAGATCAGCGGTTTCACCAGCATTGGTCTGCATGTGATTTTTTTTAACGATTTGTGATTTTCTTCAGAGATTTGGTGTTAATTCGGCTGTTAGGCAGAGATCCTGTGGTAGGAATGGCAGCTGTGAAAAAATTTACAAAACCAGCCAAAGAGATGTTTTCTGAGCTAGTTAGCAGTCTAAGAATAAGTCATTGTTCTCTACTGAAAATATACAGTCTTATAGTCTCTAAGAAGCTTAACTTAAATATAATATTCAGATCGGTTAAATCAAAAAACACTTGCGTGTGTAAATGATGCTCATTTCTATGCAATCAGGTGGGTTACTTTCATTTCACTTGTAATTACTACGTCAAAAAATCATAGACAAACCTGAATTCTACTTGAATAAAATGGTATGCAGTCACATTTCCGGTGTTAATTGTGCCCCTACTTATACTATATCTGATGACGCCTACCTCTCACAGCTCACATGATACTTTACATTTAGTTTGACTCAAAATTACTCTATAGTTGCACAAATTGGCCACCAGGTGGCTTTTACCAATAAATCACGAGTATTTTCTAAACTATTCTCCATCACAAAAGGTTTAAACATTATTATCTTGACATAAAACTTTTAGTTGTCAAAATAAGCATTTAAGACAGAAACAAAAACAATTACATATTTTGCAACAATGCTAGATTTGGTATTAATAATAATAAGTAAAGTGGCCACAGTCCTGTGGATCATAGGGCTGCACTTTCTTTAGACACAGAAACAACAGGTGGTCAGTTTAACCTGAAGGTCACCACAACTCAGGTAAGGGAAGAGATTGAGAAGGAGAGTACTTCATGATAATCTCAGGCCATATGGGAATTAAATCCACTCTGTTTTGTTACCGTGTAGTGTAAACCAGCCAACTAGCCAACTGAGGTAACCTACCCCAATTAATAATAAAGGTGAGGTGAGCAACACTTACTTATGTTGGAGTAAATCAGTGAGAAACATACGTAATAGGTGTGCACCATTAAATTGAGAATTCTGAAATGGGATGCAATAATGAAAAGATGGAAGAGCAGGAATGAGAAGCTGGAGAAAGCACAGTTGTTGAGGGAATGAAAAAGACAGCAATGAGGCTTAATTTTGGCAATGCCCCACATGAAATGCAACCTGCATTCTTTATAAATCTTCACCATCCAACACTTCTTATCTGACAGGAAATAACAAAAGAATGAGAAAGAAATAGCAGATGAAAGAAAAATAGGAACACAAAGACAACATAGACTTCTTGTTCTCCACAAAACATTTTAAATAGTGGCTAAATTTCACAGGAGAATATTCACAATGGAAATAGGCTAAATTAAACCGTACACAGAGCCCTCTGGTTCGACCATACCATAAGTGCAATGCTTAGTTTCGGCTCAAAGATACAAGGTCCAGAGGAAATGCAGGGAAGAGTAAAGATGCCGAGGGAGGCAAGGGAATCAGAAGATATCAGGATTAGAAGGAATGTGAATTCTAAATACCAGATCACTCTAGATTCGATGGAATGGCAGAAGAGTCTTGAGGGGCCATATGGCCTACTTCTGCTCTGAATTTGTATGTTTATACAAATCCTGCTAAGGGGGCGTTAGTCATCTTTCTGGATGAAATCAAACTTTCCAGGCAGGCTGCTTCATTCAGGAATGTCTTGCAGTTTAGAGAAATGGAACCTGACAAGCTTATATATAAGATGCTCCATTTTCAGTGACCTGGAAGCAAAAAAGTGTAATATTGCATTTCAGTTGAATTCAGCCATTTCATCGCCACGCTTTGGCAGACCACATGCTACTCTGCATAAAAAGAAATTCACATTGGCACCGGTACAACTGTATAGTTCAAACAGTAACAAACAGTGTATCAGATATCACTGGAGGATGGGGCAGCACCTATATCACTTCTTGTTACATTCCAAAATATGATCATCCAAGGAGTATTTAAAATTCAATCGACTTCCCTTCAAATTAACATTCCAGGTTTATGGATTAAAAATATATTCAGTACATTGGTTGCTGATGAAAGTATTAAAATTGTTACTCAGGCTAAAATAAATGATATGTTGTGGTGGACAGAAAGCTATTTACAATTGAAAAAGTAACAAAAAGTATCATTAGTTTACTTTGTTGATGCACCGAGAGACTGATACACAATTTACTGATTTTTATGTCCTTTCTAAGACAAACCTCTCTTCTTTAGTTAATTTTACCCCATTCTTTAGATTTCTTGCAGGAACACAGTGAAACAAGGTGTGTTCCTTGCATGATATCTTACATCCAGTAATTGCAACATACAGAGTTCAGGCACTTTGCGAGGGAGCAAATCACAAATACAGACTACATCAGGCACTCACAGCAGAGTGTTAACAGGTAAATGTGATGTGCCCCAATGCCACACCAATTTCTCCAACTGACATGGATATTCAGGAATGTTTAAATAACATCTCATTTCATGAAGACAACTTTCCAGTAATTGGAGGCATGGCTAAAACAAAAAAGAAATGGTTGTGGCTTTTGGAGACCAATTATCTCAGTTCTAGGACCTTACTGGAAATTTACCAATTTCATCATAAGGTTAGTAATGGGGCTACTCACTCAAGTTTGCAGTGTGGTCAGCACCAGTTGCAACTCCACAGATACCAAAGCAATCAGTGTCTGCATGCCACAAAACCTGGACCGCGTTCAGATTTGGGCTGATAAGTGGCAAGGGACATTCACACCACACAAGTGCCAAGCAATGACTATCTCCAATACCAGAGAATATAAAGATCTTACTTGTATATTCCTCAGCATTAGCATCACTGAATTCATTACCAACATGCTGGGGGTGATCATTGACCAGCCATATAAATACTATGGTTACAAGAGCACGGCAGACGCTAAGAATTCTGTAGTAAGTAATTCATTTCCTGACTCCCCAATGCCTGTCTGCCACCTGCAAAGGCACGAGTGAGGAGTGCAAAGCAATAATCTTCACTTGCCAAGATATGCAGCTCCAACAGCACTCAAGAAGCTCAACACCATCCAGGACACAGCAGCCTACTAGTTTATTATCTCATCAACATTTCCTCCCTCTGTCACTGCACAGTGGCGGCAGGTGTGCACCATTACAAGATATACTGAGAAATAACTTGCCAAGGTTTCTTCAACAGCATCTCCGAAACTTGAAACCTTACCACATAATCGGATAAGGACAGCAAACACATGGGAACAACACTTCCTGCAAATTTCCCTCCATTCACTCACCTAATTGATTTGCAATCAATTGAGGTTCTTCTCGAGCAGAATTCTGGATGTTGCTATGCTACATGGACTGCCATAGTTCAAGTAGGTAGCTCACCAATGCCTTCTCAAGGGAAATTAAGAGCAGGCAATGAGTGTTAACCCAACAAAAAAAAACCTTTTGCAGATGAGATCCTTTCTCAGCAGTACATCTTCAGTAACTGTGCATTTTCTTTTAAAAAGAAGTATGCTCAAGAGGGATTCAGCATGGTGGCTCAGTGGTTAGCACTGCTGCCTCATCGCGCCTGGGACCCAGGTTCAATTCCTGCCTCAGGTGGCTGACTGTGTGCAGTTTGCACATTCTCCCTGTGTCTTGTGGGGGTTTCTTCCCACAATCCAAAAATGCACAGGTTAGGTGGATTGGCCATGCTAAATTGCCCATATGTCCAGGGATGTGTAGGTTAGGTGTATTATCCATAGGAAATGCAGGGTTACAGGGATAGATAGATAGATAGAGGGGTGAGTCTGGGTGGGATGCTCTTCAGAGAGTTGATGTTGACTAGTCAGGGCCAAATGACCTGTCTCTACACTGTAGGGATTCTGTGAATTAATTTGGTGAACCTCTGTTCGGCTGGCACGGTGGCTCAGTGGTTAGCATTGCTGCCTCACAGCGCCACGGACCTGGGTTTGATTCCACCCTC